GCATTTTACATGCAAAATTCATCGATCATCTAATTTTTGATTTATATGTTGTACAAGCTTATAATTTTACATGTGATCAACATTGGTATTGTACTTAAATTTTGGAAAATTTTAATGGGTGTTATTAATTAACTTTAAGAATTATGAGGGGTCGGATACTTATGACCGCTACTGTATAATAATTAAAGCTCCGCATAAGCCGGCTTGGCTTGGATTGCCACCGGCTCGAGCCGAGCCACTTTTTTTTCGGCTCGGCTCATGGAGATTAATTGACAAGCCAAGCCAAGCCAATGCGGCTTGCATTTATATTTAGAAACGAAAAACCGTCGATAAAAACGTTTCTCATAAAGAGAAACGTTCCCGGAACGATTTCCTTGAAGGATTTCGCTTCCGAAACGATTTCCTTGAAAGATTTCGCTTCCGGAACGATTTCCTTGAAGGATTTCGCTTCCGGAGCGATTTCCTTGAAGGATTTCACTTCCGGAGCGATTTCCTTGAAGGATTTCGCTTCCGGAACGATTTCCTTGAAGGATTTCGCTTCCGGAACGATTTCCTTGAAGGATTTCGCTTCCGGAACGATTTCCTTAAAGGACTTCGCTTCCGGAGCGATTTTCTTTAAGAAAACGCCCCCGGATGCGTTTTTCTTCAAAGGAAACGTCACCGGGGCCGTTTTTTCTTCAAAGGAAACGTTACCGGGACCGTTTTTCTTAAAAGAAAACGTTACCGGGGCCGTTTTTCTTCAAAGAAAAACCGCCTTTGAAATTATTTTCTTCAAAGAAGAAAATACAAAGCCAACGAGCCGAGCTGCGGCACGAACCAAGTCACGGCATAAGCCGGCTTGTCTGGCTCGTGGCTCGTTTTATAGTAGCTCGAGCCGAGCCTAAACGAGTCGGCTCGTTTGGCTTTCAAGCGGCTCGGCTTATGCGGAGCTCTAATAATAATTAAAAGTTTATTTGTATACATTTTATTTCTTTTAAAAAAATATTTTTTTTTTCTAATTATGCTAGTTATTTTGATATTATAAATAATACATTTTAAATTAGATATTAAAAAAAAACTATTCTGTAATAAAATTTGCATAAATATGATCTTGAATATATATAAATACTAATAAAAATACATATAAATATCTGTTACTAGTCAGGTTATAAATTTTATCTGAATAATAAAATAACTATTAATATTAAATGAAGAAAGTTACTTTATAATAATTTACATAAAAAAATTTATTTTATTTTTATTTAATTTTTAGCAAATACGACTTTTGTTATTTTATAAAATAAAAAATATTACATAAATAGGGGCACGCATTCCTAGAATTGAGGGCATTACAGTTTTTCACATTTTTAGGATGTCGATCATAGATAATCAATGCAAAATAACTTTTTTTTTTTTTTTTATAATATTCAAATTAATTATTTTCTGATGTTAGAAATTCTACTATTATTACTTTATTAATGTGCCGTGCATGACTAATAATTTTAAGCTACATCTTTAAAATTTAATATAGTAAAGAATTTAGTATTTTAATTTGTGTAAACGATCAGAGAATTTGGTAATCTTTATTAAGCGTCGCTGTCCAAATAAGAATGGAAACAAGTAATTAATTTTAAATCGAAAGGTGTTTAGAAGATAATAGAATAATGTTATCTTACCTTCATCGTTAATTTGTAAACTATCTAAAGCTATAAATCAAAAAGTAAAAGAAAAAGTTTTTAACGCATGGATTTTTTTTTTTTTTTAAAAAAAAGACGTCTTACCTGACTTGGGAGCATTTACAGGCTTCGGAAGATCCTTAAAATTTAGTGATCTACTAGCGTAAATTGCTTGAGGATGCGTTCGAGTAATTTTAAACCGATTATCATTTGAATTGCAATTTAATTTGTCTACTCTAACACTTACATACTTTTGCATTTGAATTTGAATGTCACTATTTGTTTGATGCCTTTCGATGTCTAATTTATGTAAGGTTTGATATAATTCTTTAGCAGTTGGTCGATTTTCTACCCTAGCATGCCAACATCTTTTAATTAAATTTGCGAGAGGTCTTGGGGTATCCTCGGAAATTTTTGGTCTAAGTCCTAAACATATATTATTAGCCAATAGATAATCATGAGACGTATCAGCGTAAGGGATTTCTTCTGAAAAATATTCGTTCATAATTATTCCAAGTGAATAAATATCTGATGATTTCGTATATTGATGACCTCTTAAAACCTCCGGATCAATATAAGGCAAACTCCATAAATTCCTTCTTTATTTGAAGGTTGATTAACTGGTTGACACATTCCCAAATCACTAATATAGGGAGTTCTAAAGGCCGTAAACAGGATATTACCTGGGTGCAAGTCTTTATGAATCTTACCCGCGTTATGAATATCAATGAGACCTTTCGCGATGTAAGATAAATCAATGATCTTACTCTCATAAACGATGTTTTCAGGTTTACGTAAAAAATTATGCAAACTTCCATTCTCGCAATACCTCAAGACCATCATATAATTTTTAGTATTAGGATCCTGAGTTATTCCAAAACATTGAATTACATAGTAAATATAAATCTGGAGATGAGATTTGATCTATTGAAAAAAAAAAAAAATATTAATGACACCAAAGATTAACAAAAAAGCAATGAATGGATTTTCAAATTTTGATTACCTCATTTAAAAACTGTTTGCTTATGTCACGAGAATCATTTAAACTTTTTAATGCAACCATTTTACCACCATCTCTATTCCATTTTTGATTTTCAATATCCCAAGATTTAATATTCCCATCAGGCCAGTACGCCGAATAAACTTTGGAAAATCCTCCTTTGGTAAGATAAGTAACCATTTGAAACCTTTCGAATGGTATCCATTCAATACATTTGAAAGAATGCACAGCATTAAGTTGAGATTCCTTTATGAATTCATCGATATTTTCATTTCCACTGGACCATTGACCAAAGTTGCTTTTAAATCTTTCCGCGTTACAAGTTTGACACCAGTGACGACCCGTGCCCGGTCTAAAACATTCACCACATAATCCATACACGTCCTTTCTTGTCGTCAAGTCTTCTATGTATAATTTCTTTCGTATATCAGCCTCATTGGAATCATCTGACCTGCCAGACGAATCATTAGAAGAAATTGTAACATGTTCCTTTCAAAACATTAATGAAGAGGAGATTAATCAAAGGTAATTCATTTAAAAACCTAAAGGAAAATCATTTATATTTTTACCTGATAATCGTAAGTCAACCCTTTCCATAAATCCTTGGCGCCATTATTTATCGCATTAGGATGATTGACGTTTGTAATGCTGCCTAAAGAGAAAATTTTAGACAGAAGGACTAATCTGAATATGTCTTGAAAACGATTTATAAAGAATGACAGCATAGCATGGTCTGACAACAACAATGAAAATGAAAAATCAGCGACCTTTTTATCTGAAACGAATCGGAGTTCAGAACTTTGAAATAAGACCATATATAGAAACATGCGTCTTGTAAAACAAACCAACTCTAGAGAAGGACCCACCTAAAAAACTTTGTAATTTCTGCGGATTGTAACTGTCAAATAATTTGGAGATCATTCATTAATTGGTATAAAAAAGTGACGTGTCACAAGTCATAATCAAATCTTATCAATCTGTTTTGAAACCAAGCATAAACATTAATGCTATAAAACATTCCAAAGTTAGGTTATTTTGAAAGCATTGAAAGGATGACCAGTAAAATCAAGGTAATGCCAAGCCCTTAAAAAGGACAACAAAGTTAAAATATTTTACACATTTGCCATTGCCATTGTTGAAGCCGGCTGAAATCGCCAAAGCACATATATTTATAGGTATAATAACATCGGGGTTTGTATGAAATATCACCTTATATGGTTAGGATTATATTGGTTTTAGTTAGGTTAGGTAGGTTAGGTCCATTCAATTCACGTCACTTTGCAATTTTTACTTGTGTGGACGCTATATAACATTATTAAATTCAAATAATTAAATCGCGGTCCGTTTCTAAGAAATTTGTGAGAAAAGAATTTTTTTTTTTTTTTACGTCAATCGTCTAACATCTAATTTAATCGTTGCCGAAAGTTGAACCCGTCTTCTTCAAATTGTTTGGGATTTTGACAAGGTGTTAGTTGCTTTAGTAGTTTGTTTCTTTTCCGGTTACTAGCTCATAACCTACTGTTCGTTTCCTCAGTACGTTCATTCCCTACCTTCCCTATGTCAGTGCCGTAAAGATAAAGATAAGGAAGGCGTCTTTTTTGAAAATCTTCTTTTACGACATCGTTCTTTTATTCACTCCCCAATTTATTTATTTATTTGATTAATCTTATGATGAATAGAGCTGATTTGGCGAGGTGATAACTATGAGGAAATTTTGAAGGAAATTATTTTTAATATGCATGAGAAAAATCCACCAAATGATAAAAATTATTATTAAAAATTTATTTATGGAATTAAACCGTCTTCGTTGGTTTGAGTGATTGATATGTCATATGTTGGCTCATCTAAAAAAAATACCATAAAAGGAAATCTATATAATCTAAAAAATAATAGGTTCGTCACAAAATCAATTTTTTTTTTTTTTTTTAGAGTTGTTGTCGTGGGAACAAAAGGAAGAAACTTGATTCTTTTGAAACGCGTAATAAATGGAAACATTTACAATAGAAAAAGGTGGAAAAAAAAATATAAAAAAATGAGTTAATGCTATATATGAACTTACTTTGGCCTAAAAATCATATTTGGCATATAAAAGTAAAATTGATTTTTTCGGGAGTTTCCCCTTTCAATTGCAAACGTCCCATATGATCGTAGATTAAAATCATATGAATTTACGATTGATACAATGATACAATTACCCTTATTAATATTCTTTGATGAGAAAGCAATACAACTTACCCCAGCATCCCCCAACAGAATTTCACTTTCACGTGATATATTTGTGGCGCATTCGAAAAAATTAATCTTTATTCATTGTTATTAAAATAATAATTTTATTACAATATTGTATTACTCTTATTTGTATTGGGGTTTCCTTGTAAACAAAATAAAATTCAATATTCGAAAATACATAATTGATATTGAAATATTGAAATCGATTAATTCGGATATTTCGATTATCAATCATTTCGATCGATATTATTTATTTTTTATTTTTATTTTTTTTTTTAATTTAATATTTTTTAAAATAAAAAAAAAAAAAAAATCGATCGATGAATACGAAAGTACGTATGTAAAAAAAAAAAAAATAAATAAAAAATGAAAAATAAAAATAAAAAAGTATAAATATATATATTCAACTTCGGATATCCGAAATGATTGTGGCTCGTCGATAACCCATTTCATATTAGCAACTGCCTTTTTTCTTCAAGAAAATTAAGCAATTTAGTTGTTGAATCTATTAATTCATTATAAAGTGCATTACAATCTTCTGTATCTTGCACAATAATTTCATTTCTACGTTATTATTATTATATATGTTAAGTGAGTTTATCTGCATATCAGATAATAATGAGGTGGTCGATTTCTTAGAAAAATTCAGTGTATTACGGGCCCTTTTTTGTTGAATCCAAATGTTTACAAATACAAAATCGGTTAGTTAAATAATAAGGACATTCACATATCCATTTCGTCAGGTAATGCGTTGATAATCTTTTCCATTCAGATTTTAGTTGTTTTATCCACTCTAATTTTTCTCTTCCAGATTGAATTTGTAGTAACTTTCGCTCCTGATGAATAACTACTTAGTCATTATAATATACACTACAAGAACAAGACGTGGCCGGAAAAATTTATAAAGAAATCCCGTTTTATAACTTTCCAGTGGCTTCTACGAACATAGTAGTTTTGAGATTTGAAATTTTTTCTTCATAAACAGATCGGGCCCATAACGGCCATCTTCGTCATTATACCATTCACACCATAAATAACACCAAAGTGAGATCAAAGAATTTTCTTTACAAAATTCATACATTTCTTGAACTGCTGGTGAAGATGTTTTCCATTATTCTCCAAACAGTATTACGATGTTCTTTTGGGCAAAATTTTTCTGATTGTATAATATTGTTGAATGGAAATTGAATATCAAATCTATAAAGGATTAAAAGAAGAATTTCTAGATGCTTTATTACTTTTTAATCGTGTCATTACTGCTTTTTTTATATGCCATTTACATAATTGAATTTTTATTTCCTTTCAAGTAAACTGGGCAGCATTTATCCGCGCAAAATTCTTTATCAGTGAGAAGGAATTAGGGTTGCAATCCCATATTACACAATTCAGTAAAAAATTTTTGAATAATTGTAAGACGTATTCCCTCACCGCAATCTTCATTATTTTCTAAGAATAGATATGCTAATGAAAATCCTGTGCCGTTCATTTCTGCATGATCATACAATTGTTACTGTATTTGTATTTCTTTTAAATTAATAAATAATAAAATTATTTATTTTCCTTTTTAGATTCTAAATCTTCTATCTCTTTATTTTAATATTAAATAACATATTTGATATACATATTTTAAATTGTTAAAGATAAATATTTATAAATATTTACTTACAAATGGCATCAATACCATATTCATAGATTTCAATTTCCATTTGTTTAAAGTATTCATAAAATCCTATTGCAATTGCTAAATCATAAGCAGGTTGTATTTCTTCTAAATTATTTAATTTTAAGCAATATCTTTATCAATTCAAATGAATTTTCATGACATTTATATCTTTCTTAACCCAATTGTGTTCACTAAAAATGAACCTGTTTTTACCAAAATGATATATCTAATCCTTTATCAATTAGTTGTATATAGAAATATTATCTTTAATAAATATTTAATATTTTGAGATATAATAGCAATATTTGGTTATACATATAAAAATCATAACATAAAATTGCTTTTACTATTTTTGTTACTTCATTAATAACAATTTTAATAATTTCATTACAATTAAACCTTCTATAGATGATATATCCTGACACTTTGAAGGATTATTATATTTTTTTTAGCTTTTTCTAGTACTTTCTATTGTAAACAAAAATACTAATAATTTGTAATTTATCTTTTTATATAAGTGTAATGATAATTTTTAGATAATTATATAAATACAAAAATAATTCTATATAAAAAAATTATAAAATAAAGTGTAAATTTATTTACATCTTCAATAAATTCAATTAATTTATCTACCACTTCTCTTACTGATTTATAAAAGAATAAAATATCTATTTTATATTGACATTTATATGATAAATTATTTTTCTTATTATTATTCAAAATGCATTAAAAAAGTTGTAAAAGTTGTATATAGTCAACTCTTGTTATAACAAACTCTATGTTCTAGACCTCAACTTTGCTATAAAGTTATAGTAAAGATTTTAAGAAATTTGATTGGCCAATTCGCTATAACAAGAGTATTTTTATTATATTTGTTCAAAAAATTCGTTATATTAAGAGTTCGCTATATCAAGAGTTGACTGTAATATAATCACTAAAGTTTTCTAGTTTAACAATTTCTAAATTTTTTCTTCTTATTTTCTGTATTTTTATTTTTATTTTCTACAATATTAACTACTTTTTTTACCACTTTTTAATAATATTTAATTGTTTTATTATAACATTTATTACAGGTATGAAAATGTTTTGAAATTTCTTTCTCTTTAACATTTATAAATTTATTTGCAATTTTCATAAAATCACATCCATTACAAAAAGAAGTTATTTTTAATATTGTTAAATTTTACAATAATATAATGTAATATAAAATTTTATAAATATATAATAATATAATAAATTTTTCACTTTTCTACAATTTTATTAGTTAAATTTTATGGTGATATTTTTAAAATATTACATAATTATTAATTTTAATTAGTATAATTATTATAAAATTTATTAAAATAAAAAAGATAGTTTAACTATAAAAAAATATTTTTAGCTTTTTTTATAATTTTTATATAAAAACTAATTATTGTTCTATTGTAAAATTATGTATTAATAAATTCTTAAATTAAATCAAAAATATAAAAATATCAAATATAGGAAGTAAGTTATTAAAATTACATTACAGATCATATGATTTACTATATTTATAACTAAATTTTAATAGCAAACTTCCCATATATCTATTATATATTTTTTTATAATAATCATAAAATTTTAGAAAAAAAAGGTAGAAAATTAAAAAGGATTTTGCAACATTAAATTAAAAAGTAAAATTATAAATGTTAAATTACTATTCAATAATATTGTGATTATTTTATCAAAAATTTAAATATTTAGATTAAAAAAAAGATATAATATTTATATATGATTTCATAACAAAATAATTATTCTATAAAAAAAGTACTATCTTTAATGTAAAATCTTATATAAAAAGATTATAATAAGATAATAAGATAAATAATAGTTTATTAGATGATGAAATATTACTGTAAATTTTTCTTTAATATACCCTTGTAGATATATACATATTGGCTAATTTTAGAGATTTTCATAGTGAATATTAATTTTGATAACAGTAAATTTAAAGAAAAGAAATTAATAAATATTACAAAAAAATTACTAATATTTTAAAGTAAATGCTAATATTATATTAGATAGTTTTAATATTTTATTTTAATTTGATTATATAAATTCCATTTAATATCTGTTCTAATTTTTTTGCTATAATTTAATTATTTTTTGATTCTTTACTTTTAACCAATATCTTATAACATTTAAATAAATGCTTAATTAAATTTGGATCAATAGACTCCTAAGTTAATTTTACTCATTTAGTAAGTTGAAAATATAATAGTTTTTTAATATAATTTGAAGGTATTATTTTATGAATTTCTTTAGATATCTATTAATTATATAAGACATAAGATCTTTTAAAATCATTTAAAAATTTAACATTAAAATAAATTATATTATATATAATATTATTATAAAATATAAATAAATTATTTTTGATTTAAAATTTTTATTAATTGCAACATTTAATGGTTGTAATTTAGGTGTTAATCCTTCAGAAATTACAACTATATTTGTATTTTTTATAGCAAGTTGATCTTTAACTGAATTAACTAAATATATGTGAAATGAATCAATAATTAAAAGTGAATGTGAATTATCTAATGTAAAATTTTTAGCCCAAATACTTTCAATCCACTATAACATTTTATTTTTATTAGACCAGCCTTTTTTATTAGCACGAATAAATATATCATTAGGAAGCTTTCTCAAGGTATATTTTTTAATTTAAAAATATAGACTGGAGATAATTTAGTTTCATCAGCCATACATGTAAGAACTACAGTAAAGTTTTTTTTATTACCTGTGGTTCGAATACTAACTGTATAAGCTCTATGTTTTTAATTGTTGTTAGATTTGATAAATCAAAAATAAGTGGAGTTTCATTTACATTTCCAATTAAATATATTGGGTAATTATATTGATTACATTTATTTAAAACATAATTAAGAAAATCCTGTTTTTTTTTAAAATCTTCAGTTAAATGTTATGCAATTGTAGTACATCATTGAATTGATAATCATATTGATTTTAAAAGCCATCAAGCCATTTACTTGAAAATTTAAATGTTTGAATAATAGGTAAATTTGTAACAGGATTTTTTAGTTGTCTTTGGCAAGTAATCATTCAAATAAAGCAACTTCTAATTGTGGATATTTGAGCGATCTTCCCTTATGCAATTTAAAAGTTTTTGAAGATGTGTTAATTAAATTTTGTTTTTGATTTATCCATTCTCGTAATTGTTTGGGTTGAATATGCATGTTTCATGAATGCTAATTACATTTTTTTCATAATATGTGATAATTGCTAATTTTTCACGAGCACACCACTGTCTTAGTAATTTTTTAGTTTCGCGCTTTTAAAATAATTTTATTACTGTTTTTAGCTGTCATCTTAAATTAATGTACTCATATCAAAAATATGGAAGTATTTATATCGATTTATTAATAATTACAATATTATTTTAAATAAAAATAAATTAAATAATATCAAATAAAAATTTTGAAACAAACAAAAGAAATAAAAATTTATTATTTCATGATACCTTCAATTTCTTGTAATGATATTTAAGATATAAAAAATTTATGAAATAATAACCAAAATCACAATAATAACTAAAATTACATCATATCGCTATGATGTTACGTTAAAATTTTTAAGTTTTCTTCGCCTATATTATAAATGAAAACAATTAAGTTACAATAAAAAGAACACATTCATTATATTTATTGTTTCATTTAATAAAATATTTTCTTAACTCTTGTTCGATCTATAAAGAAATTCAGCTTTAAACCTCCAAATGTTGATTGATCTTGTAAAATTAATGATAAATATGTCACCATGAAAATCTCCGAAATTAGCCAATATGTATGTATCTACGGGGGGGGTACATTACAGAGAAATTTACGGTAGATAATGAAAATAAAGAAGAAGCAATAGTAAAAAAAAAATATTGGTAGACTTTAAAAATGCTTTGAACTTGGTAAATTATAAGTTATTAAATAAAATATATTTTAAAATACATATCTATTACTTTCTTTAGAATTTACCCAAATGTAAAGAAAAGTACGAATTATGCATCGATAAATTAGTTTTAATCGAACGTTACATAATATAAAAAAAATCGACATTTGATTTTATCACCTCGTGATAAAACGAATGTCCATTATGCTACGCGCAATATGACGAAATATAAATGACGAAATAAATTACGAAACAAGCTTTTAAGACGCGTTACATCGATTTACATCAGCCACAAAAAATATCAAATACTGTTGGGGATGCTGGAATATCACGTGTTAAGCTTTTTTTTTTGAATAAGACATTGGTGTGGTGTAAACATTTATTTATATACTATCGTAGAACTTATTTACTTGTTTATTAATATGTATAACCTTAAATATAAATTGTTATGCTGAGATTATATTACAACCAATATAATTTTGGAACAGGTAAGAAAATTTTCCGCATTCAATAATAGATCGGGAGAATACATCTACCGACCGCCCATACCAAAATATATATATAGTACATCATAGTTCAATTCAATTTTCTCATAAATATTTAAAAATCTCTCTCTTAATTATTACTTTTCTTAAACCAAAAAAAAGATATCAAAAAAAAAAAAAATGTTCGACTTGAGCTATCTTGTCGGTTCTTTTGTATTAGGACTGTTAGGTTGTGCTACCTATGTATTAATTATTTCACCATATTATATCTCTCCTCTGAGAAAAATTCCCGGCCCACCTTCCGAAAGTCTTTTATTCGGAAATTTTCTGAGTTTAATTACGCAAGGGGTTAAATATCTTTTTTAAAAATATGTCAACCATGTCACTCTGTATTATTGAAGATTAACCCGGTTTTCTTTTTTTTTTTTAGTCCGGTGAACCAATGCTCGGATGGACAAAAAAATACGGAAACTTTGTAAAATTTCATGGATTTTTTAATCAGCCAAGCATTTTAATTACAGAAACAAAAGCGATACAAGAAATTACTTTAAATCAAGTATATGATTTTATTAAACCATCAATGTTTATTGGTGATGGTAAGGCCATTATTGGTGAAGGTCTTATTCTTGCAGAAGGAGAATCCCATAAGAGACAGAGAAAAATGATGAATCCTGCTTTCACCCATAATCACATTAAAGTATGTAATGCTCTTTCTCACTCTGGTTATTATTATTCAAAAAAGATGACCAAAAAAAAAAAAAATTTTTTTTCCTTCTCGACACAATTTAGAATATGATTCCAACATTCATTCAAGTGGCTTCGAAATTAACAGGCTTGATAAAAGGCGAAGTGAATGAAGGAGAAGAAACAAAAGTTGGTATAACTTCCTATCTCACAAAAGCTACTTTAGATGTCATTGGCTTAGTCGGTAAAGAAAAAAAAAAAAATTTGATATACGCATTTAACATCTTAAATAAATAAAGTTCTTAACCTTTATGTATTTTTTAGGGTTTAATCATGAGTTTAATTCGCTAACTTCTTCAAGTGAATTAGCCGAAGCTTATGAAGCTATTTTTGGTATCACCCCAAGCAAAACATCCATTTCTCTTAGTTTTTTATCTGGTTACATTCCATCTATAAGAAAAATTCCAATCGAAATAAATAAAAGATTTAATAAATCGGTTGAGGTTATTAATCGTGAATCAACAAAGTTGATGAAAGAAAAATATAATGACGACAAAAATAACAAGTTGGAAGGAACTGATTTATTAACTTTATTAATTAAGCTTAACAAAACTTTGCCTATCGAAGAAAAAATGACCGATGGAGAACTAAATTCTCAGGTAATTAATGTAGATATTTTTTTTTAAAAGGGAAAAAAAAATTTATCTAATTTAACGGTCAAATTTATTTTCTCTTTTGGATAATTAGATTATGACATTCTTATTAGCCGGTCATATAACCACAAGCATTTCAACAAGTTGGGCACTTTATCAACTTGCACAACACCCACATGTACAAGATTTATTGCGGGAAGAATTAGTTAGAGCCTTTCCAGATAAGTCAAAATTTAATCCCACTTTTGACGAAATCAATTCTTTGGAATACTTAAATTGTGTTATTAAGGAAACGTTAAGATTATCTCCTCCAGGTATGAGTTGAATTTTTTTTTTTTTTAACAAAATATTCATTAACCTGGTGAATTTTATTTTTATTTTAGCTCCGATTATTCAACGAGTAAATGTAAAAGATGTGGTCTTTGATGGTCATTTTATTCCAAAGGTATTGTTCAGTATGTTCATTATGTTTGTATTTGATATAATAAATAATAAATTTATTTTAATAGAATACTCAATTGATGATCCCAATCGGAGCAATTCATAAGTTACCATCAATTTGGGGTCCAACAGCCGATAATTTCGATCCAAATAGATGGTTAGATCGTTCTTTAATGAAAAATGTAAATAATTATAATTACTTACCTTTCCATACTGGTGCCAGATCTTGCATTGGTAACAAATTGGCCTTAAATGAATTTAAGATATTACTAAGTATGCTAGTTAGAAATTTTGTTTTTCGTCCAATCGAGGGATTACAGATTAATATACATAGAATTGGTAGAGCTGATCAACCCGTTGAATTAATGGTTTCCGAAGTTGAAGCTTAATGAAACCACCTCTTTATTTTATTTTATTTTATATTTAACATTTTATAACCGAATAAAAAATTTTTTATTTTACATAAATTATTGAGATCGACATGTGTTAATTTGGACAAAAGTTTTTGGAATTTCGGGCCATAAAATTTTTAAATTTTGTCAGTCATGTGAATTTCACCAAGAAACGGGCTAGTTGACTGACTCATAACTCGATTTTCAGAACGTGTAACGTTGAACATTTTATTTTGACATTATGTGGTGGTGTAATGATACATTAAATCAAACCACAAATGTCGTTTTTTTATTTTTATTTTTATAAAATAGGAAACAAAAACAAAAATCAAAAAAAAAAAATAAACCTGCAAAGGGTGCATTCCTCCCAGTTAAAATTATTAAATAAAATTATTAAATATAAATATAATCAGGAAACTCCGTGATTGAGTCGTTAAAGAATTTTTGACTAAAAAATTATTTTGGACACGAGTCGCGACTTTATTTTTTCCTCTATGAGTGACCGTAAACGCTTTATGAGAAAAGCGAATAAGGATTGAATTCCTATTTGGTCAAAAAGGCTGATACACGCATTTATTTTAATTGTTTTGAACATAAAAAAAAAATTTTTTTGATGTATTGATATGATATGATGGTCTTTATCCAACTTGTGTGTGGGAAAATGTTTAGAGTAATTGTTTACTTTTAAAATATTCCTTTTTGGTTGTTGATAGGGTAAACTTTTTATATGGTTTTGAAAAAACCACATCCTGCTAGTAAACATGAAATTTATAAATATCCATCAATAAACTTTATCCGACTAACCAAAAAAAACGAAGGTTCTTTGTCCTTTGAAATAAATAATACTGCAAACCCTTTTTTTTTTTGTCTAGAGCGTTAAGTGCGAAAATGAACATATTTTGGAATGACGATACTAATTACCTACAAAGAAATGTTCATGTGAGACCAAATGAAAAAGATTAGGCTCAATATCAAAAATAACTATCAATGGGATCAAGAAATTATTAATTAATCCTTTATTGGCAGGTCGTCCAAAGATTGTGTAGTCCTTCTTCCGAGAAAGAAAGGAAAGAATACTTTCTTTTTTTTTTTTTTCTTATATTTTTTTTTTTTTTTAAAAAAAAAGACGGAAAAGTAATGTAAATACGAGATAAATAACGAGTAAAGAACCGGTTGAAAACAATTGTCAAAAACCACGTAAAATTAAAAAGTTACTTCAAAGTAATCAAACCTGTTATATCGCAAGATATGGTTTCAAAACTAACATAAAACTCCGAAAATCAATCACGTTATCACAAAAAAATGCATAAACATTTGATCATTTTTATAATAATTTTCATTCACTGTGAATCCTATCGTGACCAGACCTTGTGACAAAATTAAAGAACATCTATGTAATAACCGTGGGAATAGAATTCTAACTAGGTCAATAATTTTTCCAAAAAAGAAATTCGGCGGAAAAAATATTATTACATTTCATATATATATATATATATATAAATATGTATAAAAACCCAAGGTTTTAACCTCCCATGACACTCTTCAACCTTCAACATTAAAAAAATTATATATATCTTTCGGGATTCATTATGCATGTTCAAGGTTCTACCAAAACTCCTGAAAACAGCTATGGTATGGCAAAGGTGTCAGAGGGTTTAAAGGTTTAGCTTGCTTTTAAGTAGACACCCACAAATTGTGCAACCACGTGATCGCGAAGGTTTCCAAGCGGTTTTAAAAGCTAATCCTAGTGTGATGATGTAACGAGTCCATATCAAACCGAAAAGGAAGCGCTAGTAATTATGTGAAAATGAAAATTAGCAAAAGAACCGTGAATTATACATATATTGATTAATTTCACACATTTTTATGAAGGACTGATAGGATGGTATTCATGATAATTCATTATGGGCTTTTTAAATTTTTTCCATTTTCTCTTTTTTTCTTTTTTTTAAGATTTGGAAATGGAGGATACGGATATGAATGACTCTGCCGTTCTTGTCAGTCCTCCTCATACAAGTACTGCCTCAAGTTCTCTACTAACGCAAGATGAAAACGAATTGGATACACGTGATGACGTTCCAATGGAACTTGACTACAATGATAATAATTCCGTTACCGATGATAATGATTGCATTGGTGATGACTCCGATGATGAAGCTTCTTCCAACGAATATCAAGATGAACCTTCGTTCCATGAATCTGAATACCGAGATGAAGCCTCTTCCAATGAATCTGAAAGTCGAGAGCCATATGATTCTCAAACAAATTATGGTAAAGACTTGGCTGAATACATTCCCGGGTTATATCGTCTGTTAGACTTATGTAAAGATGATGGTACGAATGGATTTGGTAAGTTTCCCTTACATTTTTCTGTAAAATGTAAAACGTGTCCTTATTTAATTTCACATTTCTTTTTTGTAGATAAAATAACTATCTCGAGGGATTATTTAGAGAAACTATGCAACAATTATGTTCCATCAAGTTTCAAAACTATTTCTGAAATTGATTTTACGAAATTAAATTCAATCTCGATTCACCTTATTGGATGTTATGGAAATCACGCTTTAATTGCGGGGCTCCTAAAGAAAAAAGGAATTATCGATCAACAAATGTGTGTAATTGGATCAAAATATTTTCTTCAATGCTCGTTATCTTAATCGTTTTTAAACTGCCTTTTTTATTTTAGACATGACGCGCTCGTTGCATCGAATTCTTCAGACAATACAAATAAATCGTCTTTACGTCCTGGTATTTACTTGCTGGTTGTAAGTTCAGACTTGGGTTTGGTAATCCATTGGCCGGAAGTAGGATGTTACGAGGAAAATGCTTCCTCGCAATGTAAAAAGAATGCGACTAACCTTCATAGGTATTAATTCAAATTGCATAGAAGCCTAATCATAACTTATTTCATTTTTAATTGAATTGATTCTCATTTATTAAATGTTCTAGATATTTGACAAAACTTACTGACCATCAGCTTTGTCTTATGGACGGTAAAGATTTGGAAAGTTTTGATTGGAACTTGGACAGTTCTGATAAATCCGATAGGGATTCCGACGATGAGAATGGATCACATTATAAATTTGAGGTGAAATTAATTCAAGAAGAACAGGAAAACTTTAAACTTCAACCCGGCTTCAAGGTTTCGATTCTAAACCAAATTTTTTGATGCTTTCACAAATGTAAAAGATATTTTTACACTAAATTTAAAAATTGTCAATTATTAATTAAGTTGGATTTACCAAGCAAAGTAAAGAACGAAATAGATAATCACGTTCATGATGATATTCCTTTGTATCCTATTGGTAATAATTTAAATAATTATTTTTTTTCTTTTTTTTCAAAAGGGAGGATGTCTCTAAACTTTATGATTTTAAATAATTGCTCATTCAATCTTTTTTCTATTTATTCTTGGATCTAGTCGTCGAATCTTCTACGTGTCGTTCGTTTGCTACTCGTCAATTAGCCTTTCGATTATGTACATCCACCCCAACTATTCCTCAAATTGACTTTGCTCGTGAACTACAGAAGAAGTTACGGAATCGAACTTTACGTTTCGATCGCGAAAAAATGAACATGAAATCATTAGAGATTTTGATCAAGCATGGATTAAGTATGGAAGATGAACTTCTAAGTCAATTACGTAATGCCATTGCAGTTGCAAAGTTGCGATTTGAAAAAAAGAAGGATCAAGAAAGGAATGCCATAAAAAAGGATACTGAATTGATTTCGAATTGGGCATGGGAAAAATTACGCTCCTGTTATAGGTATTTATCATTTTCTTTCTTTAAAAATCATATTAATGATGTTAACCGGTTCTTGTTTCATAGTCTATTTGAAGAGATGATTGACTCCTCTTCGCAAGCAATTATAAGTGACTATGGTTAAGTATAATTTTTAAATTTTTGAAATCCTCAGGCATTTATAACTTTATTTATTGATAAATGATTTCAATTTTAGATTTAGAACGAATCCGTTCGAATTATCCAAAGATTGATGAACAAATTGATGAAAAGATCGATATCAATTCCAAATCTTGGATTAGACTGAAAAGAAGATACTATTTGAACATGATAACTATTGTTGAAGTATATAAATTGATTAAGAGTTCTGGATCGTGCAATGAAGCAATTACAGAATCCGCGATTCAACTTTTTTATACTATATTCACGGATGGAGAAAATGATGCGCATAAGTTAATAAGTAAATACGACGAGAAACTAACTTCGCTCGCTTACAAGTTGCCAACCATTTTTGCCGGTATCTCTTTCACACCTGAAAACATTAATCGCATTGTTGCAGATTCGATTAAGAGGGCCCAAGATACGACAGATATCAGATTCATACAAGAATTTATGAATTTAGAATTCTTTGATGAATTTAGTGGGATCAAAAATAAAGTCGTGGTTGCCTTCTTTGAAGAATACCAAAAATGGAGAAAATCCGTTTTTCCGAGTAACATTAAAGATATTCTGCCAAAATCTTCCATCAATAAACAAGTGTTGGAAAAGTTAAATTACGAATACGAAAAGGAAGTACGAGAAATAGAAGCTCGTGAATTTCAACGAATTTGCGATGTATTAGAAGAAAAATATAGAAATGGGTATGTCTTTATTAATCATTGTTCGAAATGAAATCGTTTATAACTAATTCCTTTTTTTTTTAAAAAAAAAATTCTAGATTTATGAAATTGAATATCATAAACGTTACAGGTGATAAATTAACCTGAATTTTTTTTAATTTTGTGAAAACTCACTTGGCTTTATATTAACAGTCCATTGTTTTTTTTTTTACATTTATCACTAGAATCTGAGAGTGGATTTCGATTCCATCATGAAATTGAAGAAATTCTGACGGAACAGCTACATGTAACAATTTATGAAACTTCTTTAGACCAATCAGATATGCATCGACTTCAGGAAGATGAATTTCATGTTCCAGATATATCTTTGAAGCGTGGTCAAGAAGCTGCATCATTTCACCTTGATCCACGAGTTTACGACATTAGGTAGGAGAAACAATGATTTGCGTTCTTTTTTATTATCTAGGAAAAGCAACTAATTTCATTTTATTGGTTACAGGAATATATCTCAATTTGAAAATCGTAAATTTCTTCTCGTGCTTTACAATAAAAAATCGCAAAAAATTGAAATTTTCCTCGACACTGCCGAGCGGTTGGCACAAAACTTTAAATCAAAGAGTTCATTTAAACCAATTAAAACGTTGAGTGTGGAAGATAAATTTCTTATTGCAATTAATGATTCAAAGAAATTAATTGCAATTTATCATACAAAAAAAGCTGAGGTATGTATAAATCATCTTTTGGGTATTAAAATCCATAAATTAATTATATATATTTTTTTTTTCAAATAGTTGGATGTATTTAATTTTATTGAGGGGCAAGCCATGTATCCACGAAATCCGAAAATCCAGTTAAAGCATTGGTATAATAATAATGCTCCGACCATTCAACACTTCTTATTCATCAACAGTACCGAAGAACTTTGCTTTGTTGAAAGAAGCGGACGTGCACGCATATTCAATCTTATCAATCAACAATTTCGACCAACAACTTGTGACCTTCCATCTGATGCCGCAAAAATTTTAAGTTCTCCCGATGGTTCATGTATCGTAGCATTCGTAAGAGAAAATTCAGGACCTAAGACACCTTACTTTGATGATAATACTGATAGTGAATATACCGATAGCGAAGATGATGGCACGGTTGCGCTTACCAACAAATCTAAAGAAATATGTCGTGCTTATGTTTATTTTTGTTCGACTTTCGGATACTCCAACTATAAAGGTAATTAAAAAATTTTCATATCCTCTTTAGCTTATATAAGTTACATATTAAAAAAAAAAAATCTCTCTCGTTTGAATAGTTATTAACTTACCGCCTACCCTTCAATCCTTGGAGTTCCTACAATTTAGTTGTATAAATAAACTACAAACCCACTTGATGTCACTTGATTTAAAAAATGGACGTTTCAGTTCATCAATAGTTAAAATTACGCTCGAAAAAACTCAATATCGTTTTCAGAAGCAAAAACAGACACTCGGATCTGCGAGGTTAATTGATTCTAATAACGATTATGCTCATATTGAAGGAAGGAATACTCATTTTCAATCCGATCAAAAAGTTCAAAAAGGAGAATATATTGTGTTAATGGGTGAAAGGTTCAAGGTGATCGATGTTATTTCGGATACCATGTTAAGAGTTACCGGCAATTTTAAACCTACGAGCAAATTTAATAGTTGGACTGAATTCCGTATTGAACCGAAAACAAAACTAAACGGTCTCATCGATGCCTATAAACTGATGTTTGAGAAATATCCAGTTGAAAGTTATGTTGATCCCGAGCAAGATCGTTTTATCAATTTGAAAATCGTTCTCGATATTGATGATGATGAAGTCGAACATTATTGCGAGAAATTTGAGAGTTACATTACTGAAACTTTTGAAGGTTTGAAACGTACTACAAAAAAACCTACCTCAATATTAAAGAGATTTTCCACATCTGTCGTAACTTTCCAAGAGCTTCATATTGAGCATTTGACGAGATATTCATCAAATTACAAATTAGGAGAATGGATCATTCAACTTTGTTGTTTAATTCCTATACAAATTGCGATAGCAAGAAATAATTTATTTCAACCTCTTAGGGATGGATTGGCTTCAAATGATATGGAACATGATGATGGTTCTGGTCATCATGTGGATAGCATAGCAAAGAATATTTCTTTTGGATGGTATGAAGGAATATTTAAGTATTTTGGTGATAAAAAAGTAAAAGTTGTTTCTAGTATGGGTGAACAATCGTGCGGAAAATCCTTCATGTTAAATCATCTAGTTGGAACTACCTTCGACGGCTCCGCAATGGTAATTATTAATCTCTCCCCCTTCCTTTTTTTTTTTTTTTTTAAAAAAAAAAAAAGCTAATTTATAAATTTTCATTTCAGCGTTGCGTTGATGGAGTATGGATGTCATTAGGTAAACTAATGATTTTATATTGCATTATATTAAGTTATGATTAATTAATTAAACTTACAATCTCTTTAAACAGTTAACACCAAGGACTATATTTATGTTACACTTAATTTTGAAGGGTTAAAGTTTCTCGAAAAAAGTTCACAAGAAGGTAAAATTACAAAACTTATTATTTTTCATTTCAAACTATTCATTATATTAATATATACAATAAATCTTTTAGATATGTTTTTAACACTTTTCAATACGGTGATATCAAATCTTATACTCTTTAAGGTGATTAATTTGATATTATCTTACTACCACTTTCTTTACATATTTACTAATGAATGGAAATTATTATTTTCAAAAACAGAATAAATTTACCGTAAATAAGGATATGTCTTCAATCTTTCAAAGATTTCAAGATGGCGCAATGTTATTTGATCCAGATCCAAAAATATTTCAGGTACAATTCAAATATTATTTATATATATAATCCAAATGTGACGGAGAAAGTCGAATTTATTTAATGTTTTAATTATTTAGGCAAGGCTTTGTATCATCATAAAAGACGTGCCTAAGGCCGACAAAGAAGACATTGTTAGGGAATTTCAGTCAAAAATTTCTCAATTGGTTTCTGAGGTACATTTTATTATATTATTTTCAAAGGGTTTTTGTTACGGCTTTATTTATTTAAAATTTTTTTTTTTAGGGGGGTAAAGATAACTTTATTTCAAGGATGTACAAAGGAGGACTGGATATCATTCCTTGGCCAATGTTTAATGACGCTGGATGGTTTAAAACCTTATCTAATGTTAATAAAGATTTAGAGAAACAGAAGGCAAAATATGAAAATGCGCGAACCTTCTTACAAAATACAAAGTTGATCATGGCTAAATTGAAGGTTCGTAAGGTTATCCCGTTCTTAATAAAAAGAATCTCATACTTATATTTGTAACTTTTTAGATATGTGATTGGGGTTCGTTAGATGAAAGCCTCATACAAATTCGCGTCGCAACATTAAAAGGATTACTATCAGTCGCTGTTTCTTATGGTTTAGAACAAAAATCTCCTGATTTCGAACCTCTCAAAGTAAATTTTATTTTTGTAATTTACGTCTTTAAATAAGTTTGTAAGCTAGAGAGATATTTAATTTTATAATTTTTACTTCTTTATTTCTAGAACCACGATACCGGAGAGCCAATTGAAGACCAAATAGACAAATTTTCCACGATTTTATTTGACTTCAATGGAACTGATGATGAAATATTAGCAGATACTGATATTCAATTATATGAAGACAGCTCATCTTTTGTCGAACTTTCTGAAGATTTAAGAGAGTACTTCGGAACTTACGTCCAACCACGAGAAGTATCTTCCGATGACACGAAATGGTTCCAAAATTTAAATAATTTCTTTAGATATGTCGTTGAGCGTCGCGTTGATCGTGTCACTGATTGGTATAGGCAAAATACTACCAATTTTCCACAAGATAACAGTGATATTGTTAACGGAAGGTTTGCAATGGAGCAGGAATTAAACAACCTTATGCGTTTGTGGACATTGTGCGGATTGACATGCTATCAATGTGGCTTAAAATGTGTTAAAAATCGTGAACACGAAGATGAACATGATTGTTTGACAGATCATAAGTGTCATTTCAATTGCCAGTTTACTGAACAACATAACCTTAGATTAATTCCGTCATGTAATTACAAAGCTGGACATGAAGGCATGCACGTTTGTAGTAAAATAAGAAATCATTTATGTGGTCAAAAATGTAGTCTTCACAATAAGCGTAATTGCTTAAAAGTTTGCGCAAAAAAAATTGGACATCACGATGAACATATATGTCAATCGACACGTCATTTTTGTGAGGAAAATTGTTCATTGTCAACAAAAACTCACAAAGGAGTAGTTTATAAGTGTCCTAACAAATGTATTGTTCCATGTGAAGATCAACACGAAACGCATCGTTGTGAAGATGTAACGTGTCCGATTCAGTGTCCTTTTCCAAATTGCAAGAAAAAATGCCAAAGCAGTGATCATTTCCATTCAAATTCTAAATCACGAGTGGATCACTTTTGTGGGTATGTGCATCATTTTATTTTTATTTTTATTTTATTTTTATTTCATTGGAAACGATTTAAATTTTTTTGATTTTAGGGATGAACATCAATGTCGTGAGTTATGCGAAGAATCTGGTATATGTAAGGTAGTAATTGCCAAGCAAGGAGTTAATAAAGAATCTGAAAAAGAATCATTTACGAAGGTATAAATTAATATGTAAAAAGTTAGATTATTTTTTAATAAAGAGATATTAATATTTGAATGATGTTTTATTAACAAAATAGTATGTTCAATCAAGTGAAAGATTAAAATGCATTAAAAAAATTCCTCAAAATGAATTTAAGCACCCCGGAAAACACTCTCATGAAGAAGATGGTTTTCATTTTTGTGACGCAAAGTGTCAATTCTGCGAATGTTTTGTACGTGTTATACAATAATTTCTTTTGCTTGTGAATTCTTATTATAACGTAAAATGTTTTATAATTAGTGTACATTGCCTCATGGGCACACGCAACTTCATGATACCAAACATGGAAATATGATACCAAACCAATTCAGTGATGACGAAGAATATGCAGGGTATATTATATTTAATCTTATTATTAATATCAATAGATATATCTTTATTTATTTATTTTTTTTTTTTTTGGCTAAAACATCTTTCAATCGTTAGATACAAATCAATTAATCAAGGAAAATTCGTCCCTTGCAACTTGGTATGTATATATATATTTTTGATTAAATGATGTATATTTTTTTTTTTTCAAATATCTTTTAATTTTTTGTTCAATTTTTTTCAATCTTAGTATTGTAAAGATTTAGGAAGACATCGACATGTTGATTATTGTCAAGACGAAAAGGCTTGTAAATCAGGACAAGATATTCAGCATATTGATAATAATGGTATTTTAAATTTGTATTCAAGTTCTCTTCAGTACCATCGACTCTATTTTAATTATTTAATAAATTATAGAAAAACCTATTAATGATAAACCGCTAGATTTCATTTCTCATAGGTTGTTCTGGGAACGTACAGGTTTTAAAGGTATGTATTAATTCTTTATTTCTTTTATTTAATGTACATATTTTTGAATTTTTTTTTTTTTATTCCAGATCCTTATTCTGTTCAGGAACAACAAGAGTTTGCAAAATGTGATCACGAATGTTCCGATGAAAAACATTCTCAAGGGTCTACAAACGCTCAAATTAAGTCATTTTGTGAATTACCACTTTTCCATGCTCCATTCGATCCAAGCTCAAACCCTCCAAATAACTATGGACATATATCTTCAGATGGGCATTATTATAATTGTGAAAATCCAGATACACGAGAAGCTGCCGCTTTTCATATTGTTTTTGTCTTGGATCGATCGGAATCAATGAGTTATAATGATATGAAGCCTTCACCGTGGACTTCTATTTTTAAGGAAATGAAAGCAAATCATAACAACAGACTCGGTGCAGCTTACAATGCGGTAAGATTTAAAATTAAAGAATTTAATGATTTTTACAAACTATTCTTATTCTTTTTAATGTATAATTTAGGTATACCAATTTATGGAAACACGTCTTACTTCCACTCAAGAAAACCAGAATCAATCGTCACCCACTTTGCGTGATAGCATTTCATTAATCCTGTTTGATCATAATGTTATCGTACCATTTGAGAATCGAAATTTAACAGAATCGGGAGCTTTATTGAAAACAATGCTTCAATATAAAACTGGTGGTGGAAAGAATTTCGATCTCGCAATTAAGAAAGCTGGGGATTTAATCTATTCGTATTTTGATCCTACAAAGTAGGTTTCTTACTTTTGTAAAGTTAAAATTTGAAATGTCCGTTTAATGTTTGCTTATGAATTTTTCGTCCCCCCTTTTAGGACAAATGTCATTATTCTCTTATCTGATGGAGAATGTGGTATTCCAACAACTCAACTTAAAAATATTTGTAAGACGAATCAAACAAAAGGGTAATTATCATCAAATCTTTTTTAAATTTTGTTGCCTTAAACTAATTATTAAATTTAATATTTTTGGAATTCTTTTAGTTCCCCATTATATCTCTATACAGTATCAATTAACAACGATTCACAAAGTCAACCATTAGAAGAGATGGCAAGGATTGCACAATCTTATCATCCTCCAAATACTTCATCCGGTGCTTTACGATGTCAATTTATCCGTGCCACTAATGAACCAAATTTAGTTAATCATTTTAGCAGTGTGGCGGAAAGTTTAAAGAAACACACATAACTTTCTTATATATAATTAGATGAACGTTCAAATAAATACAGTATATAGATGAAAAATCTTGTGCTTAGGTCTCGACTTTTTTTTTTAAAAAAAACATTCAAATTTACCAAATACCAATTGATGTATATTTTTTTTTTTTTTTTTGATTATTTCATATATAAATAAATTTACTTTTTAAATAAATTAGTTTTAAATATCCATTGGTGTCACGCAAATGACCCTAACCCCAATGACACGTAATGTGACAAATATGACGTCGAAAAAATTATCAATATAAAAAAAAATTTTTAATTTTTTATATATAAAATCGTAGAGTATGCATTAATTTTATAAATATAATAAGGTAATTCATAAGATAAAAATTTGTAATCTTAAAAAATGTTGATTTTTTCTATTCATCAATATAATATATAAAATTTATCAAAGAAAAATTCTCGTTATATAATTTATTAAGAAATTTTATAGTAAAATAATTTAATTAGTATGGATTTTTAAAAGAAATTTAATATAATTTTAAAATTGAATTGTTTTAAAACTTCTATAACTTAAAATATCTATTAATAAAAAATATATTTAACTATATTTTTTTATTAATAATAATTATATTTTAAAATAATATGATATTTTATTAAAAAAATTAATACTTTTTTTTAAAATTTGCAAGCAATTTATTTGCTAACAATCTAAATAATAACTAAAAATATAAGACTTTGTAATAGAAATACATATAGTAACGTGATGAAGATAAAATAATCATATATATTTATTAACTTATTAGTATTAATAAAGATCAATATTTATTTATAAAAAGGATTTATAGATTAAGGGTATAATAACTAAAATACATAGGTTTAGCAATTTAAAAAGTGTTAAAATAAAGAATAGATTTAATTAATAATTCATATCTTAAACTATAACTTGATATTATTTTAAACTACATCTTAATTAAGGTTAAAACTATTCTATTTATAATATATTTATGATTGATGTAGTATTTCTAATTATACAAACTCAATATTTTATAATAATTTTAATATAATTAATTAAACTAATTATTTTATTGACTAAAAAAATTAATATATCAATTTTTTTTCTTAAATTATAATCATTCTATATTTTCTATACTGACAGTATTATCAGTAAAATGATCTTTATATTATATTAATCTGATCAGATAACTAATTTAGATGTTTTATTAATAATATCAAATAATATGATTTTTAAATTAAAATATGTTTAGATTTAATATTAATTATTTTTATTTTTATTTTTAGTTCTTTTTCTTTTCAATTACAAAGATTCTATATCTTTATAGGTTTATTTTAAAATATTTTTTCATAAAATTTAAAATTAATAATAAAATATTATCATAACCAAAATAATTATATCAATTATAATTATTATTAATAAAACATATAATTATATTAAATTGTTATTATATTATATAATTATAATTTAAAATCAAATTTATCAAAATATATTTTTGAATACTAAATAACTGATAGTGAATATAGAATTATTTATAAAGACTAATTATATTTTATAAAATTTTTTTAATTTAATTATCAAATAAAAATAGTATAATATTATTATCACATTCTGAAGGTTACTATTTATTATTATAAATTACTTTAAAAATAAATTTTACTTAAGCTAAACCTTTAGAAATTTAACTAACAAATTTAAATAGAATGATAACTTTTAGTCATAAGATTATCAGATCCTATTTTTACTATACCATACTATATTTGAATCATTATAATCTTTATCTATTATCAAAAGATTTAATGATAAAATAATCTTATAAAACTTATACCTTAAAAATTATCATTAATCTATATAGAATTAAAAGATAAGTAATTATTATATTTATATCATCAAATTTATTCAGGAATTGAATCTAACTTTTAACTAAATAAAAATTCAACCAAATTGATATTAGATCTGCAATATTTTTTATATTATTAATAATCTAATTTTTTAATGATTGGTTATTACTTTCTTACAAAATAAAAATTTCTATTATTTAAAGATATTAGATAATATAATAATAAATTTTTTATTATATATACTATTATTATATTTTAAAAAGATCTTTGATTATAAATAGAAAGTTATTAGAATTACAGTCATAATAGTATTACATCAAATTTCTTTCTTTATTATATATATAAATATTTAATAAATTAAAAATTGTTATATATATTCTAATATTTTTCTTTTAAAAATATGAATAAAATATTAGATAATTTATTATTATAAAATTTTTTTAATTAAATTATTATATATTTATTAATTTATATTTTATTTTACTAAATAGTAATAAAAAATTAAATTTAGTAAATAGAATAAATTTTTTTAAAGTAAATTCATTTTTACATTATAAACTATATATAAATTATTTTTATTATCTTAATGAAACTTATCTATAAAGTAATCATAATATTTAAGATACTATATTTTAGATATATTTATTTATTTTAATCAATTTATTAACTATAATATTTTAATTAAAAATGTATTAATTATAATAAGAATGAATTTAGAATCTGAAGAAATACAACCTAAAAATATGTGAATCTTTGATTTAAAAAGAAAATTAATTTTAAAAAAAAAATGATTGCAATATATAATAAATACCATATCACAAGTTAAAATATCTCAAATATTTGAAGATTTTGAACTTTATATCTAGGTATATTATATAGACAGTACATATCAGATACTATATATAGGAAGTATAAAATTTTAAAATATTAGAGGTATTTGCTGTTTATAATATTCAGATACTTTAAATTATACTAATAAATAATTAATATGTATAATATATCAAAATTGTAATTATATCAATATAAATTAAAAAATTTTTTTCATTTAAATATTTTTCTACTATTGTTTAAATATTTCATTAAATAAATAGCTTATTTTAATCCCTATTTATTTAAAATGATACATGTGAATTATTTTTATTTTTATTTTATAAAGCAAACTATTAAAATAGTTATTATTGATAAGAAGTAAAATAAAAAGCACAAAACTATTTATTACAAAAAAAGGTAATAATGAAATGTAAGAAAGGAGTTAATAGCAGCACATTTTTTAGAAAATAATGAAAATAATAAATGTGAAACTGTTAGAAACTTTGATATTTAACCTAAACAAGTGAGAAAATAGAATAATAATAAAGTAAAATTACTGGCAATTGTATCTTATATTATCAAACTTTATCCAGATAAATCTGTTAAATATTCAAGTTTGAAAAATGATTTATATGTGTAAATTTATAAAGAAAAAGTAATAAAAATATTGTTATCAGAAAAGTGATTATTAATAGTCATTTTTTTTTTAAAAAAATCAAAAATTTTTAGCAGATCATCTAGCTATTTCATCTTTTTAGAAGACTAAAGTTAAAATTAAGCTTAAAAAAACTTTTTTATAAAACTTTATTTATCACAATAAGAAAAAGCTGTATCAGTAAAATTTCTATTTTGTGGTTTTGCAATACAATAATTTATCAAGTAAAAATTTGCCTGCAAAACCATTGAAGAGATAAGTTATATATACAGTATATTAAAATTTTTATTGCAACCTTTTACTCACCTATGGAATATTAGGTAGGGGACCTCCACGAACATAGTTCCAAAGCGCATAAGGGCATATAAGTTATCCATGTTAAGAATTCAGTTCAGAGCAACGAATCCGACGAAGGAAAAGTTTGAGGTAATAGATATCTAGGTCGCGTTGTTGAACTTAAGAGGAAAATTTTCGATTTCTAATTTTAAGAAAGAAAATATAATTCAAACTTTTTAATGCACAGGTAGCGTTCCGCAATATGAGCCATGGAAAATACACTCTATAAATAGTTAATTTTTTTTTTTGAGAAATGGGAATTTGTTTAAAGTTTATTTTTAGTACAAAATAACAAAACTGTAATATGAATGATATAAAGATTTTCTTTTCGCCACGTCTAACTTTAATAACGTTAACAATATGATTTTAAATCCTAACTTTAAAGATTTAAAAAAAGACTTTGACGTGTTAGTCCATGACCCATATTAAAAATTTAGTTATTGGTTGTAGTTGCTGTAAGTAGTAGCAAAGTATGATTGATGTAGGGGTTCGATGAAAGTATCACCCATTTATCAAGGCGTTGCTAAACTTAAATTTAAGTAATTTATCTGTATAATAATATAAGCACGCGTGTGCATGAATAGGATTTTGTTTTTGTGCTTATATATAAATCACGTGGAAAAAGTATTGGCAAATAAAAAGGGCAATTTTTAATAACGTGAAGTTTTTCCTTTTAAAAAAACATTTTCCCAACACTTCCTCGTCTTTTGTGCTTGCTTAATGTCTCACGTCCCAGAACAAGATAATCGTGAGTCTTTTTTGTGAATGTTCTATTATTTTTCCAAGTTCTTTATGTACTTATGGTTTACTCCCACAGAACCAACTCTACGCGACTTTTACAATGCTACACAAAAAAAATCTGAAGAATATCATGCTTGTTTAACTACTACTATATATGGCGAAACATATTTGGACCCAGAAAAAGTTAAAGCTAGAGGTTTTGATATAAACGAGTAAGTGATTTATCAACTTTGCTTTTTTGATCTCTTTTCTTATGTGTCTATTACTACAGAGCAATTGAGGTAGGGAATGAAATGATCAGATTGTCAGGGGAATGGTTTGATAAAACAACAAAAGAGAAAGGATTTCACACTATGTTCAAGGAATTTATTGATCAAGCGTAAGTTGGCATCTTAATTACAAAACGAAATCACAAGTAGAAATTAATACCATCTGTTTTAATAGTCTGCCACAATTTGTAAATAAAAGATCGAATTTTTCGAGTTTTGATGATTTGTATGACTTCACAAAGAAAGAAAAGAAGGGAAATAAGGATAATAAAAAGCTATCAAAAAAGGTATTTTTTTATTTAATTTACTTATTAAATAATTGATATTTAGTGATGATGTCGTTGACTCTTTTATACATTCAGAAAATTCGTTCTTTAATGAACAAAGCTTCATATCTTGTGGGCCGTAAAATCAAACTTGAAGATAAATTATATGTCAAAGTCATTGCCGTAAAGACGAACGATGACGGTGTATTTTTGGAGGTGGAGGAAAAAGTGGGAGATAAATTGGAATATTATGAAATTATGTATCAACAAGATATGGTTGGATTATAAAATTTTTTATATTTTTTCATAGACGTAAATAATCTTGATATAATTCGGGTCATAAAATATTCTTGCCAAAAAAATTTCGATATAGCTGATTTTAGTTGCAAACCCTACTAATTAAAAGTTTTAAAGTCACGGTACAAGTGTTTTTTTTTTTACAAATATTTAGAATTCCTTTTTATAGACATAGAAAATAAAAATTGGTTGCTTTAATTACTAAATGTAATGGCTATAATTTAGGAATATGAAAATAATTATTTGAAAATTAATATGAGAATTAGTTATTATAACGAAGTAGAGATATAATAAAGCTTGCTGCATCGCTATAAATTTATTTATAAACCCTTTTATGATTCTTAAGTATAGATTAAAAGAAATTTTGACATATTTTTAACAATATTTACAAAAAATGCTCTTTTACAATTCTTAAATTCTTGGAATTCTCTTGTCTCGTTCAGATTGTATTATTAAGAATTTTTTTTTACAAGATGAAATATTTAAAAAGTTCGAGTTATTGCACAGGAACAATAGAAAAAAAATCAAGTGTGCGTGATGCCTTTTCAAGTTTATATAATATAATAAATCCTAAAAAAGCTCTACATTATTTGTTAACATTTTATATCACTTCAGTAAAAAACTAAAAAGATTACATCCAAAGATAAACTTTTTCCCCCACAACTTACTTATCCAATAAACACCATATGCTTTGTCAAGTAAGTATCAGGTCCTGCTCCGCGGTGGAAAATCGTTATTATTCATCGTCTGCATTGATTACAAAGGTTGAAGATTTGTGAATACAGGTTCTTCTCATGCATAAGGGAAGATTGCTACGAAAACAGATTTTTGACTAAAAATTAAGATTTTTATTACTTCCTATATTCCATTTTTCATGCTCAAAAAGGTACTAACGACATAGTTTGTTATAATCATCCGAAATTTTCCGAGTTGTGATGTGCATGAGACATTATATTCACAGATGAACTTTATAACAATTATGCCATCCTTCCAGACAAATTTTTATGGATTCTTCTTACTGATAGAGATAAGTAAAAGGAATATAAGCAACGTAAAATATGAAGTTGTATAGTGCACAAATGAACCAAAGGATCAAATTAACTTACAATAGTTTGAGCCCTGAGATCTCGATAATAAATGGTTTGAATACTAGGGTCACTTCCTCCAGCATCTGGGTTGAAATTTGGGCAAAAAACTTACAGACCCAGAACTGGATTTGATATGCTACCGCGTTCTTCGTTTCGAGAAACAATTGATAGGAGATATATTATTTTAAACCTTTGATTATAGCTACTCCATCGCACATACGGTTTTTCCATCACTTTAAAGTGCCTAATTTTTGTGAGAGTCTCGATTTCGTAGTATTTTGATGATTCATAAATAAATTTCTTAGTTTAAATCCACGTTCTCAAGATCGTTGAGAAATTGGATGGTAGAGAAGGGTTGGGATGATTTGTATTTTTAAGTGGACGACAATTAAAAGAACGAACCACAATTGCCAAAAATTGGGAATTACTCTTGTATATCATGACACTCGTTGTTGGATGAATATTAGACATCATTTAAGTTCTCCTTTCCTCCATCAAAAGAATTTTATCCAAGTGGTTTTAAACAAAAGGTATTTCACAAATATGTTTTTGTTTTTTTTTAAAGGATAAAAACTCGTGTGACTTACTAACTTCTTGCGTAATGCAATCAAATTATAAATACCCTTGTGTTTTCCTCTTTTAGATAAAAATACCTCTTTATTTCACAATTTTAGTTGAAACTAATTGCAGCATATCAAAAATATAAGCGCCTTATAAAAAATAGAATTCTATACTACTCATTAAAGTGAAACTGTAAACTTTACTGATGTAGTAAATTTTAAACAATTATGTAAAAAGTTATTTTTAGAGAGAATACACTTTACAATTGTACTTATTTTATTATTAAATGATCAGTCATTATAGTTGATTAAAATAAGAATCAATATATTATAATCATCTCCTTTTTTATTATTTTAATGGGAATTGTATACATTTAATCTCTTTTAAAGGAATCCCTTCCTATGTCATAAAAGTTCCATGCAACTGAGAAATAAAATAAAGAACCCAACCAAATTTCTTTGATCGCAAATTTGATTGTTATTGTGATCAACACACTGCGCAGTGTTGTACATGGGACAATGTCCCGCCAAATTTTAATGTCCCCGTCCCAAATGTTCCAATGTTCCCAATGACTACGCTGGCCTTTACGGTATATATACGTAAACATTAAGAAATTTTTCGCCTCATATTATTTATCATCGAGTGATGTAAAGGAAGATTCGACCTTATCAATATAATATGTCATTTATGATAATTACCAAATGATTACTTTCCCAAAGTATATGACAAAAACATTTAATCATTTATCCCAACAATTGAAAAATTTTCCGAACAATCGTGGGAATTCCAGTCACATAAATTTTCATGTGTGTGTGAACTTTATGTAATAGTTTTCCAAGAGAAAAAGACGAGTTTGATTGTTCTACATATGTTGATAAATTATTTAAAAATCAATCAACCTGCGGTGTGTAGGTAAAAAAAAAAAAAAAAAATTCTTATAAAAAGACAGATTATTCTTTAAAGTAGAAATTTTCCTTCAACCGTCAAATCTTTTTAGTCGGTTAAATTATATCACTATGCACATTGTTAATTCTTCCCAAGCTTCTGATGATTTTGGTAAGAATTTTATATCAAGGCAATGTATATATCAGAAAGCATGACATAAAGTGACTAATTTTCTTAATTCCTTCTGTATTTTTCAAAAAAAAAAATAAAAATAAAAAAATAAGAATTTCAAGAAGATACAAATGGTTCGACCGTATTCATCAATCCGTGTGAAGGAACTCCTTTAGCGCAGCAGCCAATCAGGATCGAACCTAACGACCATCAAAATATAAATGAAGCAAATTTGCCTCAATTAATGACCGATAACGCAGCAAACAGACAATCACCAATTGACCCATGTCAACGGGATTCGAATCTTTTACAAAAATCGGTAGAACAAGTAACTGAGATTTCGGAACAAGCTCAAACTGCCAATTCACTTTCACAAAATTTAAGTGAAATTATGAATACGAAACTCACTGTCGTTAACAACACGCAAAGATCGGAATCGATCCAAGCTCAAAATAAACAAACTTCTGATAATTTGCTTTTTCATAATTTATCATCTGACACTAAAGATAAGCAAATGTCGGAATCTTTTAGGTCTTCAGACAAAAATATCGAGTTTCAATTTATGAATTTAAACCTTTTTTCTGGTGATTCTTCTCAACCATCTCAACATTCTCACCATGATCAACAATTAGAAAATGCAATTACAACTGGTTTCGAACAAATAATGAATTCGAGCATATTTGCTAATATACAAAAAGGAATTTCTACTCAGTCTCAATCTGATGAATCATTTGAATTGACGTCAGATCAAGATGCTATCCGAAAAAAACCAACTAATGAAATTCCTAGGATGGAAACAAATTTTGGGAATGATATTGAGAGCAGAATTGATCCAAAGGAAAATATCCGCAAAGTTCTCAAAAATAATAAATATCATTCGCTTAATTCCAAACATGGTAAAGATTTAGCTGAATATATTCCCGGCTTTTATCGTTTATTAGACTTATGCAAAGATGATGGATCAAATGGCCTAGGTACGTTCCTTTATATGATCTGTGTTATTTAAATATGATATGTATTATGAAATTTCACTCGATGTATTTTATAATTCTATAGTGGATAAAATAATTATATCCAAAGAGTCTTTAAAGAAACTATGCAATGATATGGTTCCATCAAGTTTCAAGTCTATCTCTGAAATTAATTATACTAAATTGAATTCAATTTCTATCCGTCTTATTGGATGTTACGGAAACCATACTTTAATTGCAAAACTCTTGTTAAATCAAGGTGTCATTAATCAACAAATGTATGTGGTTTATGAAATATATACATTCCATTTACTGTAATTGGATTTTAACTTAATCATTTTTTTTTTTTTTTTTATTTAGACATGATTTTCTTACAGAATCGCAATCATCTGTAAATAATCCTTCTTTACGTCCTGGTATTTATTTATTGGTAGTGAATCCAGATTTAGGTTTAGTCATTCATTGGCCTGAAGAAGGATGTTACGAGGAAAATGCTTCTTCGCAACGTAAAAAGAATATGACTAATCTACATAGGTATACAATTTGTTAAACTGTTTTGATTATCAATAATCTTTATTGACATTTTATCAATTCATAGATATTTGACAAAGCTTACTGATCATCAACTTTGCTTTATGAGCGATAAAGATCTGGAAAGTTTTGACTGGAAATTAGACAAACCCGATGATGATTCAGACGACGACGAAGTGAGTTATGAGTATGAAGTCAAGAAAAGTCAAGAAGAACAGGAAAAATTCATAATCTATCCCGGATTTAAGGTTTTAATTTTTCTTTATATTAATTAGCGTATGTATCGAAACATTTCTTTTAACTGGATAATCAAATTTTCAAGATGAATTTATCTAATAAAACCAAAACCGAAATAAATAACACCACTCAAGATGAAATACCGTTATATCCAATCGGTACTTGATTTATTCTATATATTTGAATTTTTAATTCCGCCTGCATTCGTATTATAAAGATAACAATTTTATTTTTTTTTTTTAAAAAAACAAAAATTAGTGGTTGAATCAACTACAAATCAATCTTTCGTTACTCGAAAGTTAATGAAAACAGCAAAAACATTAAATAAATCGCATGCTAATTTTTTTGAATACTCATTTTCGAATGAACTTCTTAAAAAACTTGAGGGACATAGCTTATTTATTTGTCGTGAATCAATGAATATGAAGCAATTGGAGATCCTGGTAAAATATGGATTTGAGAAGGAAAATGAACTTTTAAAACCATTCTATAATGCAATAAAAAATGAAAAGTCATTAATGGAAAAGAAAAAAGAACAAGAAAAGGATATAGTGAAAGAAGATGCAGAAATTCTTACTAGAATGATGTGGAAGAAATTAAAAGATTCTTATAGGTATTTTAATAACATAAATAACGAAAATAAATATCTTAAATATAATTATTAATTATTATTTTTATCACTTAGTTCATTTGAAGGATCGATCGATAGCAATACCACACCACATGAAATTGGAGATGACGGTAACGTATTTTATGATTGATCAAAGGTTTGAATAATCTAAAACTGATGCTTTATGTAAAATTCTTTAGATATCAAAAGAATTCAAGATAAATATCCCGATATCGAAGCGAAGATAAACGAAAAAGTTAAAATAAATTCCGTTGAATGGCGTAAACTGAAAAAAAGATTTGTTTTAGCCTATATTACTACTCAACAGGTTTTTAACATCTCTGACTTGAATTCTGAACAAAAACAAGAAATGACAAAGTCAGGGATCCAAGCATTTTACGAATTGTTCAATGACAAAGAGAATGATACATATAAGCTTGTAAAAAATTATGAGCGTCAATCACGTGGTTTTTTTTATTCTTTATTGTCCAAGTTTACGACAAGTATTCAAGATTCGTATATTAATAAATTAGATCAATGTTGTAGAGATTATGTGCTTAAAAAATCAGACACTGAATTCGTTCAGGAGCTTAAGTCATATTTTGGGGATTTTACCGATATACAGTCAAATGTGGTAACCGCTTTCCACAATGAATACCAGAAATGGAGAAAGGATACTTTTCCAAGTAATATTAAAGAGATAATACCCAAATTTTCCTTTAAAGAATTAAATGATAAGTTAAGCCACGAACTCTCGCAAGCGAATAAAGAAATTGAGGTTCGTGAATTTGAAAGGATATGTAGCGAATTGGAAAATAAATATCGTGATGGGTGAGTCATATTATGTTAAATTAACTTCACATCATCTTTAAATTTATCATTTAACTTTATTCTTGCAATTCTTATATTTAGACCTCTGTGTTTAAACATATTAAATGTTACGGGTAATTTATTATAATAAATTATCATTATTGATATATAATATATAATTCAATCTCTTTTTCTCTTTTTTTTTTTAAAAAAAAAAAATCTGTAGAATATAGTAATAGCTATTCTCGCAGTAAATCTTTTCGATTAAATTTTGAATTTGAGACCACTCAACCAAATCAATTGCAGATATCCATTTACGAAACTTCATTAGATCAATCAGATACCTTACAAATTCAAAATGACGGGCTTCATATACCTAATTTGCATCCAAATAATCAATATGGAACTACCTTTCAGATAGATCCTGCGATTTATGATTTCAAGTAATAATGCTTTACTTTTTCTCAAAAAAAAAAAAAAAAAAAAATTAAATATAAATTCTAAATTACAGGAAAATATCTCAATTGGATAATCGCAAATTTCTTCTCGTGCTTTACAATAAGAAATCACGAAAAATCGAAATATTCTTTGGTTCTTCCCAACACATAATACAAACTTTCAAGACGAATAAACCTTTTAAATATCTGAATACAGATGAAAATTTTCTTATTGCGATTAATGAGCCAAAAGAATTAATTGCTATATATCGATATACAGAAAATGATATTGTGGTAAGCAGATATTCTTTGGTGATTTATATAAATTTTTAAATCTAATTTTATTAACTGTTTAAATAGTTAGATGTGTATGCCTTATATGACGGTCAAACACATTTTTATGCGCGAAATTCAAATATTCAATTGTTACAGTGGTATAATAATACGGTTCCAAATCTGCAGTATTTCTTTTTTATTAAAAATACCGAAGAACTCTGCTTTGTTGAGAAAAGTGGTAGAGCGCGTATTTTTAACCTTGTAAATAAGCAATTTCGACCAGCGGTTTGCAAACTTCCATCCAATACCTCAAATGTCTTAAGTTCACCCGATGGCTCATGCATTGTAGCATTCGTAAAAGAAAACTTGGAAAAAAATATGGTAAACATTGATAGTGTTGATAGTAGTATTACTACTGATGATGAGAGTGACTATGATTCAGTTATTACTGATGAAGAACAACAACAGGATGATTCCGTTAAAGACGGTAACATTAAAGAAATATGCCGTGCTTATGTTTATTTTGGCGCGAATTTTGGAGACTCTGTTAGCAAAGGTTTGTAATTTTGTTGTCGTATATGTTCTAGCTTTAAATTTCTAATAAAACTCGTTATTATTTATCTTATAGTTGTTGATTTACCAACTTCTCTTCAATCCTTGGAGTTCCTACAATTTACTTGTATCAACAAAATACAAACTCATTTGACGTCATTTGATTTACAAAGTGGATCTTACAATTCCGCAATAGTTAAAATCACCCTTGAAAAGACTCAATATCGTTTCCAAGAACGAATGCAAAAGAAGTCACTTGGACTTGCAAAATTAATTGATTCTCCTAGAAAAAATGTCAATTATACTATCATTGAAGGAAGGGACACACATTTTGAACAAATTGTTCGTAATGGAGAATTCATTGTATTAATGGGAGAAAAATTTAATGTGATTGAAGTTCTTTCTAGCACAAAGTTGAAAGTTGGAAGAAATTTTAAAAGTGGATTTGATGATTGGATGGAATTCCGTATTGAACCAAAGACAAAATTAAATGGCCTCATTGATGCTTATAAATTAATGTTTGAAAAATATCCGGTTGAAAGTTGTATCGATTCTGCACAAAATCGTCCTCTGAGTTTAAAAATCGTTCTCAATGACGAAGTTGACGACGAAAAAATCGAAGAATTCGGCGAAAAATTTGAAGAATATATTTCTGAAACTTTTGAGAATTTGAAACGTTCTACAAAAAAACCTGCAACAATTTTAAAAAAATTTTCTTTATCAATCACTACTTTCCAAGTCCTTGATATTAAAAATGTGAAATTTCAAAAGAAATTTTCATTAGCATATGAAATAGGAGAATGGATCATTCAATTATGTTGTCTAATTCCAATACAAATTGCTGTTGCAAGAAACAATTTATTTCAACCTCTTAAAGATGGATTATCTTCAAATGATATCGAACTTGATGACGGTTATGGTGGTCATGTGGAAGGCATAGCAAAAAACATTTCTTTTGGATGGTATGAGGGGATTTTCAGGCATTTTGGCGATAAAAAAGTGAAAGTTGTTTCTAGTATGGGTGAACAATCTTGCGGAAAATCATTCATGTTGAACCATCTTGTTGGAACTACCTTTGACGGCTCCGCAATGGTAAATATCAAACCTCATTTAAATTTTTTTATCTCTTTTTAAAATAAATGACCAAATTAATATTCATTTCAGCGTTGCACTGAAGGTGTATGGATGTCACTGGGTAATAAACATTTTTTGCTTCTCGTCTTAAAGTGAAATATTAACTCAATTTATTTCTTTTTCCTATATAGTAAATACCAAGCAGTGCATTTATGTCGCACTCGATTTTGAAGGTTTAAAATCTCTCGAGAGAACTCCTCAAGAGGGTCAGTATATACTATTTTATTGTTTTTTACTATCATGAAATTGCGTATTAACGAAGATATTCATTCTTTTTTTTTTTTAGATTTATTTTTAACACTTTTTAATACAGTAGTTTCCAATCTTATACTTTTTAAGGTGATATGTGATGAATTTATTACTTTATTCATTTCATAATTTTTTTTTTTATTTTCTCATTCAAATTATATTTAATTTCAAACAGAATCAATTTGCAGTAAATAGAGATATGTCTTCGATGTTTCAAAGGTTTCAAGATGGTGCGATGTTATTTGAGTCAGATCCAAAAATATTCCAGGTAAAAGTTAATATATAATCTTAATAAAGAATAACATAAAAAATTTTTTTATTAATATGTTTATAATTTAGGCGAAACTATGTGTCATCATAAAAGATGTGCCTAGAGCCGACAAAGAAGACATTGTAAAAGAATTTAAATCAAAATTTTCTCAATTAGTTGCCGATGTACAGTATATATTTATTATTATATGTTTTCAAGGATTTTTGTTGCGGCTTTATTTATTTATTTTTTTTTAAATAATTTTAGGAGGGCGAAGATAACTTCATTTCAAGAATGTACAAAGGAGGGCTTGATATTATTCCTTGGCCAATGTTTAATGATGCCTCATGGTTCAAGACATTATCAAAGGTTAATAAGAATTTAAATAACCAGGAACCTAGATATGAAAATGCACGAAATTTCTTACAAAATACAAAAGTAATTATGGCTAAATTAAAGGTCTGTAGAATTATATATATATTAATTATTATATTTATGATTGATTAAAAAAGTGACTTGAATTTTATAACATTAGATATGCGATTGGGGTTCATTAGACGAAAATCTCACTCAGATTCGTGTTGCAACATTAAAAAGATTACTCCCAACTGTGATTTCATTTGGTTTGGAACAAAAAGATTCTACTACTGAACAACTTATGGTAATAATGGTTTTTACTTATATTGATATAACATAAGCTTCGACAAGTTTAACGAATTTTTTAACGTTGTTTTTAAATTTACTTTTTCTATATACTTCAAAAGAATCGTGATACTGGGGAACCGATTGATGACGCAGTAGTCAATTTTTCTGAGATTTTACACGAGTTCGAAGAATCTAATATAACATTGTCAGATTCTGATATCCAATTATATGATGAAAACGCATCTTTTGTCCGACTTTCTGAAGATTTAAGAACTTACTTCGAAGAAAATATACAATCGCGTAAAAACTCATCCGATGATCTCAAATGGTTCGGAAACTTCACTAGATTCTTTAAATATATTATCGAGCGTCGTGTTTCACGTGTTAAAAATTGGTATATGCAAAATACTGCCAAGTTTCCGCAAGATAACAGTGATATTCTTAACGGGAAGTATGCAATGGAGCAAGAGATAAGCAAGCTTACACTGCTATGGACATTTTGTGGATTAACATGTTATCAATGTAATTTAAAATGTGTCAAAAATCGTGATCACGAAGAAAGTCATAATTGCTTAACAGATCATAAATGTCATTTTGATTGTCATTTCACTGAAGCCCATAATAGTAAATTAATTCCAATGTGTAGTCATAAGGCTGGACATGAAGGAAAACACGCTTGTGATAAAATAAATCATTTGTGTGGTAAACCTTGTAACCTTATCGATAAACGTAATTGTCAGAAAGTTTGTTCAAGGGAAATTGGACATGAGGAGGAACATCTATGTCAATCAACACTTCACTTTTGTGGAGAAGCTTGTTCATTATCAACAAAAACTCAGAAAGGAGATTATAGTTGTCCTAATAAATGTATTAGACCATATGAAGAAGAACACGATTTACATCGTTGCGAAAATCCAACTTGTCCAATGCAGTGTCCAATTCCACGTTGCCAGCGGAAATGCCAAGTTAATGATCATTTTCACTCATTTTCTGATTTACCAGTAGATCATTTTTGTGGGTAAGTACTATATAAAACCATCACTTATTTTTTCGTTAATTGGGAATTGGATTTGATCAAATTAATTATTATTTTAAGAGATGAACATCAATGTCGTGAATTATGTGAAGAAGATGGTATATGTAGAATAATACTCGAACCGAAAAAGCAAGAAGAAGTTTATAAAGGATTAGTAACCAATATTGCATTTACGAAGGTATGTTAATGTCATTTGAAGTTATTTTGATGTGGTTAAAATTAATTTTAATAATCTATAAATGTTTATTTTTCATTAAAAAATAGTATATTCAATTAAATGAAAGATTAGCATGTATCAAAAAAATTCCGCCAAATAAATTTAAACATAATGGAAAACATACACATGAAGAAAGTGGCTTTCATTTTTGTGATGCCAAATGCCAATTCTGTGAATATTTCGTATGTATTATAAAAATCTGCGTATCATTTTTTTTTTTTTTTTAAAAAAAAAATATATTAATTAAGTGTTTTATGATTAGTGTACGTTACCTTATGGGCATGCACAAATTCTTCATAATACGACTCATGGAAATATGACACAAACTGAGTTCACCGGAGAAGATAATGAGTTTGAATATGCAGGGTATAGTTTATATAAAATCAACATGTCTGTTATATTTTATTATTAAATTTTTTTTTTTTTTTATTAGTCATAAATTAAAAGTTGGCGATCAAGGAACATTTGTCCTTTGTAACGTGGTTCGTTATTCATAATTTGTAATTTCCACATTTTTTTTTTTTTTTGTTATTCTGTAGTTTTAAACTTTAAAATTCCTGTTTCCTCAATATCAGCACTGTAAAGATTTAGGAAGACATCGTCATATTGATTATTGTCAAAACGAAGAAAATTGTAAATCAGGACAAGATATTCAGCATATTAAGGGTAAATTAAACAAATTTATGATTTAACTATATTTAATAGGTTAATTAATTGATTTAAATTATAGAACGAGTACATCCTAATCCTGAAATATCCAAAGATTTCATTTCTCATAAATTGTTCTGGGAGAGAACGGGTTTTAGAGGTATATATCAAATAATTCCACGTGCTTCTTAAAAATATATTGATGTATTTTTTATACTAGATCCTTATTCCGCTCAAGAACAACAAGATTTTGCAAAATGCGATCATGAATGTCCTGACGAAAAGCATCATAAATCTCAAGGATCTACAAGAGCTCCTCCAACTAAATCATTTTGTGAATTATCCCTTTTCCATGCTCCGCTTAATCAAGATTCAAATCCTCCAAATGACTATGGATACATTTCTTTAGATGGGCACCATTTTAGTTGTGAAAATCCAAG